TGGGATTTTTGGTTGGGAAGGAGGCCTTTAGCATATGTGCAACATGCCTCAAGTGACATGTGACCGGGATTCATTTGGTCAGCTGGTTCAATCATTAGGTTCCCCAGCTCAGGCTGGATACTGATGGAAAATATGGCATGAACATGCCATCCAGGTCCTTGGAAAAAAGTTAAAGTAGTGGAAGCTATGATCTAAGACATGATTTAGATTGCAATTGGAAGGTAAAGACAGGAACTACAAAACTGAAGTTCTAATAAGAACTTCATGTGGGTAGAACCATGTAACTTCATATACCTGTCAACTTTGTGTGGTGTGACTGAATTAATATTGCTGGGTGAATCTGAGCATCTGTAATTCCTGCCTTTGTTTTTATAGTTCATATCCACAGATTTCCGCAATGGATGCTTCATTAATTGAATAACTTCCTATTCTCTGAGCTCCTCCCTTGTTTTATCCTGTCTAGGCTGGGGCAGGCTATGAACAAATTCCTGCACTGCCTCCATGTTTTGCTTGATTTTTCCATTAGTTGAGTCAGCCACCGCCCGCCTCTCTCTGTGTAAGGGTGTGTCAACACTGAAGTATAAGCCCCAGCTCAGGCTTGACCCCAAACTCCCTTTTGATAGACACAAATCTCCCAGACTCCAGCTATGACTTAAGAGTTCTGCAGGAGTGGAGATTCTGTGCCAAAGTCAAGCCATGACCCATAGTTTGAGCTCTCTTGTTTTGCATTGTAGGCACAGCTCTGCTTGACAGAGGTCCTGGGAGCCCACAGTCAATCCCATGTGTCACAGCTTCCTCTGTCCTCTCTATCCTAAAAATTCCCAATCTCCTCCAGTGAAAACAGAAGCAAACCCTCTTGGTTCAAGCAGCAGCTTACCTGGTCAGCATTAACCGTTCCATTGTCTTCTGATCACCAGGCTGCAAAAACATCAGCAAAGTGTCTTCTGTGTTTGCAATGGAACCTGACCAGAACAAGCCTTTTGCAAAGGATGTTGCTTCATGGTCCCAGGAGCTCAGCAAGATGTTGGTGGATCTCAGGTATAAGGCCGCCAAAACAAAACATTTTTGCCACCTCCACTTAAGGAATATTTCCAACACAACAGTGTACAACACACTGACCTTGCAGCTCCCCACAGCAGTCCCACAAAAGGGAGGCTTCTATGTGGCCCTCTGCTAATGGTTGTAACGAGTCTGGATTTCGACATTGATTGCTTCCACAAACATGGATGAGCTGACATTATCAGCAAACAACAACATGTAACACATAATCTCAGTCATGCAGAACGCAATGCTATACACAGCCTCAAAAACAATTCTAACATCATAATCAAAGGGGCTGACAAAGAGGGCACTGTAGTCACGAACAGAACAGATTATGAACAGGTAGCGATCAAACAACTCACCAACACCAGATTCTACAAGCTTCTCTCCTCTGATCCCACTAAAGAATACCAAAAAAACCCACCCAAAACAGCAGCTCATGAAGCTCCATGATACTGCTCAAGACCAAATTTACACGAACCCTCCCCCTTAATCTCCAACCAGGAGTTTTCTATCTGCTACCCATGATACACAAACCTAGAAATCCTGGACGACTCATCATCTCAAGCATTGGCACACTTACAACAGGATTATCTGGCTATACTGACACTCTCCTCAGACCCCATGCTACCAGCACTCCTAGCTGTCTTTGAGACACTACAGACTTCTTGAGGAAACTATAAAACATCAAGTATCAGAGGGGTAGCCGTGTTAGTCTGAATCTGCAAAAGCGGCGAGGAGTCCTGTGGCACCTTATAGACTAACTGAAGTGTAGGAGCATAAGCTTTCGTGGGCAAAGACCCACTTAGTCAGATGCATGTAGTAGAAATTTCCAGAGGCAGGTATAAATATGCAGGCCAGAATCAGGCTGGAGATGACGAGGTGGATCCAATCAAGGAGGATGAGGCCCACTTCTAGCAGCTGATCTGGAGGTGTGAATTCTGTTCTCTTGGAATTCACACCTCCAGATCAGCTGCTAGAAGTGGACCTCATCCTCCTTGATTGGATCCACCTCGTCATCTCCAGACTGATCCTGGCCTGCATATTTATACCTGCCTCTGGAAATTTCCATTACATGTATCTGATGAAGTGGGTCTTTGCCCACGAAAGTGTATGCTCCTACACTTCAGTTAGTCTATAAGGTGCCACAGGACTCCTCGCCGCTCTTATAAAACATCACTAATCTATCTGAAAATACCATCCTGGCCACCATGGACATAGATGCTCTTTACACCAATATTCCACATGCAGACGGATAACAGGCTATGAGCAACACCATCCCTGATGACACCACTGCACACCTGGTCACAGAGCTCTGTGACTTTGTCCTCACCCACAACTACTTCTGATTTGGAGACAATTTGTATCAAGTCAGGGCACAGCCATGGGCACCCGCATGGCCCCACAATATGCCAATGTCTTTATGGCTGACCTTGAACAATGTTTCCTCAGCTCTTGCCCTCTAGCACCCTTACTCTACTTACGCTACATTGATGTTATCTTCATGGAAGAATTTCAACAATTTCCACCCCATCATTAACCTCAGCCTGGACCAGTCCACACAAGAGATCCACTTCCTTGACACTACAGTACAATTACATGACGGACATATTTCTAGCACCTTATGCCAGAAACCTATCAACCTGTACACTTACCTTCATGCCTCCTAGCTTCCATCCCAGACACATTTCTCAAAATGTTGTTTATAGTCAAGCCCTAAAATACAACTGGATTTGTTCCAATACCACAGACAGACACAAACACCTACAGGATCTATATAGAGCATTCTTAAAACTGAAATACCTTCCCGGAAAAGTGAAAAAACAGATTGACAGAGCCAGAAGAGTACTCAGATATGAACTACTTCAAGACAGGCCAAGAAGAGAGAACAAAACAATCCCACTTGTCATCACCTATAGCCTACAACTTAAACACCTCCAATGCATTATCCACAACTTACAACCTAGCCTGGAGAAAGACCCTTCACTCTCACAGGCCTTGGGAGACAGGCCAACCCTTGCCTACAGACAACCCTCTAACCTCAAACAAATTCTTTCCCGTAACCACACAACACACCTCCATCTTACTCATCCAAGAACCCACCCCTGCAATCAACTCTGGTGCCAACTCTGTCCACACATCCATACAAGCAACCCAACCACATAAACCACCACATCAGAGGCTCTCATTACTGTGTAACCTTGAGTGGGCTAGACTTCACTGCCCTTCTCCAGTGTCTAAAGAAACCCCCACTTCCACTGCAGTACTGGAGACCCAGAGTTGAGTTTGTTAGGAATTTCAGCAACGATTGTCCAGTGTTAGCCTCCCTACATTCAAGTTCCAGAAAAAACTAAAATAATGAATTTAATTAAATAACTTTACAAAATTTTATGAAGAAACAAATATTCTAATTCTTACAACAGAACACAACTATTTTACAATCCACAAATAATGTCTATAATTACACTAAACATAAGTAAAGAGAAAACTAAAAGTGAAATGTGAATAGTTCAGTCCACACAAACATAGTAGGAAAAGACTAAGAGGTTCCAAGAGCTTAGATATGGTTCACCAAAGTCTCAGTTTGTGCCTCTGATATCAACTCCGCACCATATGCTGAGTCTGAAGTCTCTCTCTCCACTTGCTTGTAGGGAAGCCTAGCTGGAGTCCAGGCAGATTCTTCCTCTGCTATGGTCACTGCTAGGCAGGCAGCTCACTGATTAACTTGTCAGTTAGCTCACAAATGAACAGACTTAAAGAAACCCTATTACAAGAAAATACCAAAAAAACCTGAGAAGAACAAAATAGAAATGACTCTTTTCCCTGTTGCTACATTTACAGAGGAGCTGGAAAAATCACATGGATTGAGAAAATGAACTAGAACAGTCTGACTAAAATCAAAATAGCATTAAAGCAAACAATTAACACAAGTTATTTCCCCTCCCAGGTTCTCCTAGCTCTAAGTAGCATTGCCCCTGATCCCCTGTAGAAGGTTAACACCACCACTACCTGCTGCAGAGTAAAGAACCAGCAGCAAGTTCTCTGCTCCTGGCTTAGCTTCCTCCAGCTCACACAGGCCTTAGAAAAGCAGCTACCCTGCCTGCTTGCTCATAAAGTCTGACCCCAAACCATTGGACCCACCTCCAGAAGCTTCTGGGTGGAGTGCTAAATAAGCCCAGCAACAGTAACACTCAACTCACTCCTACCTCCCCCACGGGGGTCTCTTAAAGGGATAGCTCCCTATTAAGTGCATGGGTTACAACTGCACATCCAACAATGTGATCTATGCTATCAAGTGCCAGCAGTGCTCCTCTGCCATGTATATTGGCCAAACTGGATGGTCCCTCCGACAAAGGATTAATGGACACAAATCAGATATTTGAAAAGGTAAAACACAGAAAACTGTAGG